CGTTATAATTTGGCATTGGAACAGTTATTGTGGGTGCAGCAAGAGAAGACAACAAAGTAAAAGAAAATTGCATGATGTTTTACTCCTGAGATACACATAAAAGGATTGTCTTATCATATCAAACAACAGCCAGGAGAAATAATGTCAGTGCAATTCATGCATCACTTAGAACTATGGAAAACATTGTATTAAAGATTTTCTGTTAATTGGACAGAGTACCTCACAATCAAAGGACAAATTTGATGAAATAGAGTGTTTACAACATGCTTCTGTTGACTTTGCATATGAATAATGTGTTGGTTCCAAATTCTTAGGCAATATTATTTTTCTTTGAAGATTCTATAGGAGAACATTGGGTATTTATTGTTGCAGCAGAATTCAAGGCTGGCTTGAATTTTGTTCCTTTTAAATTGATCTATGCTGTGGTTTTGATATGGAATGTTACCTAAAGTATCATGTATTAAAGACTAAGGCCCAGTCTATGGTGCTATTGGAAGGAGTAGGAATGTCCCCTAAAGTATCATGTATTAAAAACTAAGGCTCAGTCTATGGTGCTATTAAAAGGTGGAATCTTTTAAGATGTGGGGCCTGCCAGAATAGCCAAAGCAATCCTTATCGAGAAAAGGGATGCAGAAGGCATCACAGTACCAGACTTTAAATCATTCTATAAAGCTATAGTAACAAAAATAGCATGGTATTGATATAAAAATAGACATGAAGACCAATGAAACAGAATGGAAGACACAGAGACAAACCCACATAAACATAGTTGTCTCATAATAGACCAAGGTGCCATAAACATACATTGGAGAAAAGAGAGCTTCTTCAAACAAACGATCCTGGGAAAACTGGAAGTCCATATGTAGTAGAATGAAACCAAACTCCTATCTCTCAACCTGCACAAAACTCAACTCAAAGTGGATCAAGGACCTAGGCATTAAAGCAGAGACCCTGTGCCAACTCTGAAGAAGAAGGAGGCCCAGCTCTCCACCATGTCAACTTAAGAACTGACTTCCTCAATAAGATCCTAAAGCATAAGAAGTAAATCAAGAATCAATAAATGGGATGGTATCAAACTAAAAAGCTTCTTCACAGCAAAGGAAACAATCAAGAACATAATAGAGAGCCTGCACAATGGGAGAAAATCATTATTACCTGCATCTCAGTTAGAGCATTAATCTCCAGGATACACAAAGAACTCAAGAACTTAACACCAAAAAACCCCAAATAACCCAACCAATAAATGGGCAAAGGAACTGAATACTTCACAGAAGAAATATGATTGTTCAACAAATATATAAAAAAATGTTCAACAATCTCTGGCAACTAGAGAAATGCAAGTTAAAACTACACTGAGATTTCATCTCATTCTAGTCAGAATGGCAATTATAAAGAATATGAGCAACAACAAATGTTGGTGAGGATGTGGAGAAAAAAGTTCACTCATATATTGTTGGTGGGACTGCAAACTGGTGCAACCATTATGGAAAGCAGTATGAAGATTCCTTAGAAAACTTGGAATGGAACCACCAGTTGACCCAGTTATTATACTCCTTAGTTTATACCCAAAGGACTTACAATCAGCATACTATAGTGCATAGCCACATCAATGTTTATAGCAGCTCAATTCACAATAGCAAAGCTAAGGAACAAACCTAGGTGCCCATCAACAGATGAAAAGATAAAGAAACTGTGGTATATATACACAAAGAAATATTCCTCAGCCATAAAGAAGAATGAAATGATGACATGGTCGTGGTCTTGAAGGGGATTATTGGATCTCCCCCTCTTCCTCTCTCTTTATCTAGCAACCTGGTCATGCAATTTTGCCATGTGCTGCCACTCTCAGATGCTGACTCACCACAGGCCCAAAAAGAATGGGCCAATCAATCATGGTCTGAGACCTCCAAAACTCTGAGGCAACCTTTTATTTTTATAAGCTAATAACCTCAAGTATTTGTTATAGAAACCAAAGCTGACTAACACAATCTGCATTTTCTATTTCAAATAATACAAAAAAGTGTTTTTGCTTGTTTTATTGGTGTTTTCAGTTTTTTTTAAAAATTAATGTCTTATTATTGATTCTGGTTTCCTTCCCTCTTCTTATTTTTAATATTCATTCATCCTTCCAGCCATTCATATCAGATGACTATCATGTGCCAAGAACTGTAGATGAATCAGAGAACTATACAGGCACCATTTCCATTTATCACTGAAAATTTCTAAGTTCGAAGTTCTAGAATCTTCAGCATCTATATTTATCACATTTGACTGTTTAGAATGTTTGCTTATTCTATATCTGGATATGCTTCTATGGTTTATATTTATAATCTGAAATAATTTATAATTTATATTGTCAATTTAGTCTTCTTACATGTTACTTGTACTGTTTTCAAAGTAACCTTGCTAAGTAGATTTATATTTCAAAACACATGATGCCCAAGCAGTCACACGCTCACCTGGCATCCTGGGTTCGATCCTCAGCACCACATAATAATAAAATAAAGATGTTGTGTCCACCGAAAACTAAAAAATAAATATTAAAAATTTTCTCTCTCTCTCTTTTTAAAAAACAAAACAAAACACATGATGCTTATTTTCTCTCTGACCATTCCTCCAGATCCATTCTTAGACTTTTTTTTCCCTGTTTGGTGCACTGGAAGGTTGATCCCTGTGCTCTGATTGCACCTGACTTATGATTGTGTTTGGCAAATGATAGGACTAGCAGGAGATAAGAAGGAGGAGACAGAAGATGAAGTCATTTTACCCCCCTTTTCCCCTGGTTTAGTGATACAGTTCTAGCATTAACTGTGAGCTTCCTACTTTTTACTTCTTATAATGTTGATCCTCTTTCATTCCAGTTTTGCTTAGGTTTAGGTCAGTCAGTCTGTCTGTGTGTCTGTCTTTCTATCATCTTACTCCTTTAGGTAAAGGAGCTAATGGCTTTCTTTCAGTGTCAATATCTTTGTTGGTTCCTTTAGCTGTCTCCCCATTTTCAAATGATTCCTCTTTCAAAAGTTTCTTCAAGTAAAATAACTGAGTAAAAGTGTATTTCCTGCTTGGTCCAAAATTGATATAATGTGTGGGTGAATACATATTTTTTCTTTAGTATTAATAATATATAAACATATATATGTACATGTATATTTCATATACATGTATTATATATGTGTGTGTATATGTACATATATTTATTCAGAAATGTTTCTAAGGAAATAGGATATAGAGGTGGGATTCTGGAACTGAGCTGCTCACGTAGTTAATGAATGTACAGATGACCTCTATGCCTGGTAGATATTGTGATACCAGTAATCCATAGCAAGCAAGGGTGTCACAGTTACCCAAATTTTACTGGAAGGAGTATGGAGCAGAGTGTCTATGGAGCACAACTTTGTTAGTTTTTCATTACTATGACAAAATACCTGAGAAAAATCAATCAACTCAAAGGAAGCAAAGGTTTTAGTTCATGGTCACTTAGCTCTGTTGGTTTTGTGCTTGTGGTGTGGTGAGACTTAACATCATGGCAGGGAGTGAATGGTGGAGGAAAGTTGGAGAGAGAGAGAGAGAGAGAGAGAGAATATATGAATGGAATGAATGGATGAATACGAATGGGAGAGAAAGGACCAAGATCTCAGTATGCCCTTGGATCCCAATAGGCCCACAGTGAACTACATCCTCCAACTAGGCCCACTTCCTAAAGTTTCTATCTCCTCTCAATAGCACCCCAAGCTGGGGACAAAGCCTTTAACATATGAGCCTTTGGGGGACATTTAAGATTGAAACCATAACAGCAACACTTGAGGTGGTCAATAGGGCAACTGCATTTGATTTCAATGACAACCATTGCTTTTACAAAAATAGTGGGGGAGCATGTATTTTATGACTGTATCAGAGTTTACTGAGAGAAACAATGCTTAGGACCTCAAATTTCCAATCTGAGGTCAGAGTAGAGACCCTGGCACTGTAGTGAATTGAGGAAATGAGTCCAGGCTGTACCCAAATGAGGTGAAGCAAATGGGTCTGAAGAATAGTTCACCTCCACAATGTCAGAGCAAATGGGCTCTGACCAGTGCTGCACACTGTAGTTATGAACTAGATAAAAAAAAGGAGAAGGAGAGGAGTAGGGATGGAACAACTGAGGGAAGAAAAGAGATAAAGAGGAAGAGAGAGAATAGGGGAAGGCAAGAAGGGAGGGGGAAGAACTCACAGCATGTAAAAGATACAAAGAATTTAGTTGAGACAAACACATCCCAAGGTAGGAGGCAAAATCTCCTTTATATTTTCCATAAAGAACTTTAATAAATTAATAAATTCAACCAAAAACCTCAAAGATTCAATAATAAAATGACAAAATCAAATGAAATGCAGATCATAGAGCTATAGAAATAAAATTGAGAACCATGTCACATTATTATTCTAGGCTCCTGGATTAGATAGCAAAATTCTACTTAGTTGAAACAGAGTGGGTAATTGTTAGGTCAAATAATATTAGCTCTTTCTTTCATTGTGTAAACAAATTGATAGGAGCTATGTACACTTAATCAATGAAATCACAAGATTATCAAATTGGGAAGAGAGAGTGCAAAATATCATTCACAGAACTCCATCTTTTATATTTATGTGATATTAGTTACATCCATTTAATCAGCAAAAGTAAGCTAACATTGCCTAGTTTGGTGAAGTTGTTGTGAATATTAAATGAGATACCACTGTAACTTGCTAAGCACAATTGTGGCTTGGTAAGTAGCATCTGTGGTTATTTGGCTTCTGGGAAAGTAAAACAGTACTGAAATTACAAATGAGAACACTGCATGCTGACCCTGCATTCTTTTTCTTCAAGGTTGTTCCCGGGATCCAATTTGTTTAGGTTCTACAAATCTAACACGCCTAACAGGGTTGAGAGTTTAGGATTAGTTGGTTAATAAAGCATGTTTTTCATATATATATTTTAATCTCTGGACCACATGTAGTGCTTACACCAATAGAAGCAAATTCCTCACCTGCTTTTGTCAAAAAAACTCTTCCACTTAGGCAAATAAAAGTAATATCTGAAGTATAATAACTGTGATAAGAGGACTTTACAATATCATCATGAAAGTCAGCTAATAATCCAAAAGTGTTGCCACCATCCACTGAAAGCCAAATCTGTGGAAATAAAGACATAATAACCTCAGTAAAGAGCTGCCATTTGTATGCCTAATATTCCTATGTAAGCAAAGTCATGTAATCTTTCCCATATCCCCACAGACATACACATGCACATTTACATGTATATAGACTCCTTATTCATTAAGTCTACCTTGTAGTTTCATCCTAGAGTCTGTGACAGTGTCTGTGGCAAAGTGTCAGGCCTGCTTAGTATGGATGGTGAACATATGAAAAAACAAGGCTATTCTTATCACTTCCCAAATGGAGTTCCTTTGTTTATAAAAAGATAGATGCTGGGTGTATTTGAATATGGGGGAAGGTGTTTATTCCATATTGACATGAAAGCTCATGTTCTAGGTATTTGACAAATACATATGCACACATATTTTGTAGGAAGAGCCCCTTGTTATTTAAAGGAGCGAATCCTGAAGTCTTAGAAGATCCTCAAATCACTAATTCCACTATATCCTCTAGATCCTCTATTTCCTCATTCTTAGGTAAGAGCATTTTGGGAATAAATCAGGTCGTGTATAGGATGAAACCTGCTTGCTACTTTTTTAAATTTTTATTTTTAGTTGTTGATGGACCTTTATTTTTTATTTATTTTTATGTGGTGCTGAGGATTGAACCCAGGGCCTTGCACATGCTAGGAGAGCACTCTACTGCTGAGCCATCACCCCAGCCCCTTGAGTATTTATTTAAAGGAATTAAGATCAGAATTTCAAAGCAATATCTCTACTCACATGTTTAATGTTCCAAAATTCAAAATTTCCATGATAGGAGTTAGCTCAAGTGTTCATCAACAGATGAATGGATAAAGAAAATGTGGTACACACATACAGTGGGATGTTATTCTTGCCACCTCTTTATTTTAGTGGGAGCGGGGGTACCGAGGATTGAACTTAGGGGCACTCAACCACTGAGCCACCTCCCCAGCTCTATTTTGTATTTTATTTAGAGACAGGGTCTCACTGAGTTGCTCAGTGCCTCGCTGTTGCTGGCTCTGAACTGGTGATCCTCCTGTCTCAGCCTCTCTAGCTGCTGGGATTACAAGTTCACTGTGCCTGGCATTGCCAGCTCTTTTAATAGCCTAAGTTTCATTCAAGTGAAGATTTTTGGCGTTTGAATCTCTTTTTTAACATTAATTTTAGTTAACAAGCTATGACCAAAAGTGGATATTTTTTCCTTAAAATTTAAAGCTTTATAAATGAGCCGAACTATCTTAGACCACTACCTACTCTGTTTACATTGTGGTCTTCTCTTAAGATATAATCCTGGTCGCCTCTATCTTTTTCCAGAAGCAACCTGTTATCAATTTGAAAATTCTATACAGTTACACTTACATATATGTGTATATAGTAGTAGAAGTGAATAGTCCTGATTTTATTTTATGATAGGAGAAGGGTAGGAAGGTGCCTGGATGTGGTTCACCTTTGAACTTGAGCATGAAGTATCCTGCATGCTGAGTGGGTCTGAATGTTACAAATGCACATACTCCTATCATTCAGGATGCAATGCACCTTGCTGGTGTAGCACAGTCCACAATCCTAAACATTTGATATGTGGGTTTCCATTTCCCACTCTTTGGACCCTGCATGTTACTGGGTTTGTGAGCAGGGTAGTGGGGAGGAGTGTGTGGGAGAAGGTGCTTTGGATAATTTGTTTTTTTAACGATATTATTTTAGTTGTTGATGGATCTTTATTTTATTCATTTATTTATATGCGGTGCTGAGAATCAAACCCAGTGCCTCACACATGCTAGGCAAGCACTCTACCACTGAGCCAGAATCCCAGACCTTGAATAATTTGTTGAAAGTCTGAGGTGTCTGTGCTTGATATTTTAGAAGTTACATTTACCACTCAACAATAGCTCTCATTTTGCTAGCTCTTGTGGACCTCCATAGTCTCTGCTCTATGACCTAGTATCCAATTTGTGGATATATTATATACACATTTATATTTAGGGTTAGGGTTAGGTTTGGTTGTACCAAAATTTTCACTGTTATAAACAATATTGCAGTGGAAATTCATTTATCTGCCTCTTTGTACTGCCTGCTATATATCTAAATCAGTACTAAAAAGTTGAGTTGATGAATCAGATGCTAGATGTATTTCTATAATTTTAATATATACTAACAAAATGATTCTTAATTTTGCTGAACTAGTTTATGTTCCTACCAGTAGTGTGTAAGAATATTTATTTCCCCAGATCTCATCAATATTTGATAACAAATATTTATTTTTAATTTTTATTGATTACTTGAATGAAAAAAGTGACATCTCATTGCAGTTTTTCTATATATTTAAAATTATTGATCCACGCTGGGGCTTGGGTTATGGCTCAGTGATCGAGTGCCTGCTTAGCACATGCGGGGCTCTGGGTTTGATCCTCAGTACCACATAAAAATAAAATAAACATATTGTGTCCAAATACAACTAAAAAACAAACAAAAAATTATTGATCCATGCATGGTGCACTAATATGTTCTTTATATTACTCATTTAATCATATAATGAACATATATAACCGAGATCCCCAACTTAGGAACTGGCATATTGTTAGTAATTTACATGAAATCTATGTGTTTCTCTTCAATCTGGTTTCCCTGCCTTCTCCTTCAGAGATATACAATATCCTGACTTTTTTGTTTTTCATTCCCTTCATATAAAAAATTAGCACATGTGTATTCAAAATACATTGATTTATTTTACTTATTTTTTTCTCTTTATATAGTTAATGTTATGGTTTGGATGTGAGGTGTCCTCCAAAAGCTCATGTATGCGGTTTAGAGGTGAAGTGATTGGGTTATGAGAGTCTTAACCCCATCTGTACAGTAATCCCCTGATGGGATTAACTAAGGGGGTAGCATGTGGCTGGAGGAGGTGGGTTATTGGGGGTGTGCCTTTGGGGTATATATTTTGCATCTGGTGAGTAGAGTCTCTCTTTGTTTTCTGATCATCATGTGAGCTGCTTCCCTTGCCAGACTCTTCCACTATGATGTTCTGCCTCACCTCAATCCCTGAGGAAAGGAGCCAGCTGTCTATGTACTGAGACTTCTGAAACTGTGAGCCTCCAAATAAACTTTTCCTCCTCTAAAACTGTTCTCATCAGGTCTTTTGGTCACAGCCATGAAAAACCTGACTAAAACAGTTACCCCATATCTCATCTTCTAGAACTTACTTTTCCCCCCAATTATTTACTTATAATTATACATGTTGGATAATTACACATATTGTGTGATTATAGATAAAATATATATTATATATTATTATATATACATATTATATATAATATATACATATATGAACTGAGTGCTTTTATTTGTTTTTCCATTGCTGTGTAATAATTCCCTACATGAATAAACTTTACTTATTCATTTTCCTACTAGGCATCTGGATTGTTTTTCATTATTTAATGCTATTGCTAACAGTGCCAGATGAATGTCTAAAAATATCTATTCATGTATGTGTTTCCTTTGCTAAAAGTGATATCTATGGGTCATAGAATATGCAACTGTTCAAATTTACAGGATAATAACACCATATTGCTTTGCAAAATAGTTGTAATTTATTCCATCTGCAGTAAATAAGAGATCTGGCTGCTCCACATTCTCTTAAACATTTTGTATCATCAGAATGAGCTTTGCCAAATATATAGCTGAAAACAACAGCATATTGCACTCTTGATTTGTATTTCCCTGTTTACTTGTGAACTACATCACTCCTCAATGTTTATTCCAGTGGGGTTTCTCATAGACAACTTATAATTGAGTCTTTTTTTAGATCACTCTGATAATCTATGACTTTGGATTGGTGTAGTTAGAACTCTGATGTTGACATGATTGTTGAAACAGTGCAATGATCTATCATATTTGTTACTATTTTCTCTTTGTTGCTTTGTTCCAACTTTGCCTTTCACTCATTTCCCATCTTTTGTGGTTTTAATTTAATTTTTTATAGGATTCCATTTTCTCTCCTTTATTAGTATATCACTTATTTTCTTTTAAAAAACTTTTTAAAGCAGTTTGAAAGTGGGCTAATCTCTATCCACTTTCAAGTAATGTTATATAGCTTCCTGGGTAGTGTGACTATCTTAAAATAAAGTAATACTGATTCTTTCCTCCCATCCCTTCATTTGCCTTCTTGCTGACCCAGAATTTGTGTGTGTGTGTGTGTGCTGCTAAGAATTGAAAATGCTAAGTTTTGCATGTGCTAAGCATGTGCTCTACCACTGAGAATTACCCTCAGTCCCAGAAGTCTTCTTTTGAATGACAATGACCTTATTTATTAATACTTTTTATGGTTAGTACTTTTGAGCCTTGTTTTAAAATGCTTTCTCTACCTTGATTTCAGAAAGATAGGCACTTATATTTTCCTCTAAAATTTGGATATTTGAATTATTTATCTATCAGGATGTATGTTGTGATGCAGGGATGCAGTTCATGTTTTCTGTATTTATGGCCAATTCTTCCCATCCCATTTTGATCAGTGCCTATTTCCTCTTCAATTGTAATGTCTCTTGGGCCTTTATCAATTCTCCATATATGAATGGTTGTACTTGTGGGATTGTTAGTTCTTTCTGTCAGCCAATTTTTTCTGTTCCCTAGCCAAAAACACATCATAATTACTTGTTTTTTAAAATGCATTAATACCCAGTGCCAATTCTTCCTCTTTATTTTCTTTGTAAGTGTCTTGACTATTCTCAGTTTACTGTATACACTTAAACTCTACGACAAATCTTGTTGGGATTTTGATTAGAGTTGTATTAGATCTATAGATTAATTTAAGAGAGAATTGATATTAAAGGACTGCGAATTTTCCTGTCCACAAGCATGTTTATGCCCATTTGTTGACAGAATTTTAAATGTCTTTCAGTGAAGTTTATAATTTTGTATATATGTGTCTTGGAAATCTTTTCTTAGATTTATTCTTAAGTACCTTATAATTTTGTGTGAGTTTTTTAAAAAAAAAATTTAGTTGCTGAAGGAACTTTATTT